TGTTTGCCCCAGGGTTTTGGTTACATAAAAGGGAGATTTTCTTATAAAAATATTTTTTGCTTTCATATCCTGTCGTTACTTATTTACAAAAAAATATTATCCATTGAGATACGGAGGTTAAAATATTTGAGGATGTTGGGGCGCCTGGGTGGCTCAGTGGGTTAAAGCCTCTGCCTTCGGCTCAGGTCGTGATCTCAGGGCCCTGGGATCGAGCCCCGCATCAGGCTCTCTGCTCGCAGGAGCCTGCTTCCCCCTCTCTCTCTCCCTGCCTGCCTCTCTGCCCACTTCTGGTCTCTGTCTATCAAATAAATAAATAAAATCTTAAAAAAAAAATATATATACATATACATATATATATATATATACATATATATATATATATATGTATATATATATTTGAGGATGTTAATAGTAATAATGTCAAACACTCACCACGGCCCAGGTGTTGCTCTTAGTGCTTTAAATGGAGTGTCCTGTTTGATTCACACAACAGCTCTATGAGGGAGGTAGGCATTCTTTCTCCTAGAAGAAAAAAACATAAGTGTAAACAAGTTGAGCCACTTGCCTACATTATATAGCTGCTGCAGATCATGGCCTAGATTGGGATTCAGGCCATCTAGCTCCAGAACTCACACTCATAATCACTACAGCTGTGGCGAGTATCATTTAGAACTAAATTTCTGTTCTATCCGAAGTTCAGAGGTTTATCTGCCTGTCAGTCTTAGCATCCTTTTTGAATAGATTGGTTCTTTAACATCCTATCTCCTACTTCCACATTTTTTTTTTCCTTTCACTCCTCATGTGCTGCTTGGTGGATTGCACTCTAATTCCCTTTTACTTCCTTTTGGCGGGGGGCAATTCATTACTGCTTCATGAGCCAGTGCACGATGGATGCATTTCATTACAGCCCCTCTCCTAATCAACTGTGTTGATGCTGAGATAACAAGTACCGAAACCAAGTACATGCCTATATTTATTTTTCTTGTCACCCAAAGAATAAAACTATGTAATTCCAGGTAAAAATGAGAAAATAAGTTATGCATTTATTTCTTGTAATTCTTGGGTACTTAGCATAAACACAGAGGGCTGTGTTAAGGACAACATTTATATCATCAGGCAAGTGGAGATTTTGGATGTTTGGCCAATCAATTAGATTTCAAGACAAAATAGAACAAACAAATACACAAAAAATAAACCCACAAGCTAGAAGATCTGTACTACTCTTATAAATTAATGTTTGCTTTAAATTTTATACTATAGCTACTGTTATAGAAAAAGTTATTTTGAAATGCACTTCTTTCAGTAAATTAGTAGAAGAACTGCAGTTGTTTTTGCTTTTTAAATTATAATGATATAATATTAACTATGGAACTACTAAGGATTATACTTTTCATATTAGAGTAAAAATTGTCCCATAGAGGACTGACTTTATTATCCCACAGATGCTTTTTTCTTAAGAAAACTCATACATTTCTATGCATCATCCTTCTCCCCAAAGGATATTTCCTTCTCAATTTCATCCCATTAAGACTTATATTTATATACAATGGGATATTATGCAACCATCAGAAAGGATGAATACCCAATTTTTGTATCAACACGGACGGCACTGGAGGAGATTATGCTGAGTAAAATAAGTCAAGCAGAGTCAATTATTATATGGTTTCACTTACTTGTGGAGCATAAGGAGTAATATGGAGGACATTAGAGAAGGAAAGGAAAAATGAACTGGGGGAAATTGGAGGGAGAGATGAACCATGAGAGACTGTGGACTCTGAGAAACAAACTGAGGGTTTTGGAGGGGAGAGGGTGGGGGGTTGAGTGGTGGTGGGTATTAATGGAGGGCACTTATTACATGGAGCACTTGGTTGTGGTGCATAAATAATGAATCTTTGAACACTGAAAAAAATAAAATTAAGATGTTAAAAAATAAAAGACAATATTTAGTCCTTATTTAAAAACAAATTGAATTTTGATAAGGTAGCCACTTTGCTATTACTGCTCACATACTGCTTGAATGTGATCCATTTCTGGAATGTTTTGGCATGAAAGGAATTTGCAAACAGGAAACAGTTTGGGTGCAGGGTGAAAAGAGGAGTGAGGCCAATTCAAGGCTTGAGGAGAACTGAAAGGGAAGTACCCAGCACTAAAAGAAAGGTTGGCATTAAAGAGGGCGTGTGATATGATGAGCAGTGGGTGTTTTAGTCAACTAATGAATCATTGAATGTTATATCAAAAACTAATGATGTACTATACCTTGGCTAATTGAATTTAAATTAAAGGAAGAAAGAAAGAAAAAGAAAGAAAGAAAGTCATTACCAAATGCAACCTTCTTTCTATTCCCTATATTTGCCCCCAAGTCTGTTCATTTTGTTTGGGTGATATGTTTTAGAGTTTAGAGATCATGTGCAGGTGGGTGGTCTTTACTTCCCTTAGATGTGGCACCTCCACCACAATCCATGCATTATTTTTGCACCTCATCGCACCTCTAGTGTCTGATTCTCCATTGGTCAGTGTTTGTCTCTCCTCTATTACCCACTGTGCACAGTGGCCTTCTGGATCTTTCTATAAAGGCATCATAGTTGCCTTGGGGATCACAGCAGTTGCAACTGGACCCAGGCTAGTGGCTTGAAATGGTGACAGAGCTTTTGTGTTAGCCTACCCAATATCATAGTCTTGGTTTTTCACGGTGTGGTTATGAGATATAAATCCATTTTCTTTCAGAGGCAATAAGTTCATATGGGACTAAATTTGCAGGGTTTCTTAAGCTCAGCATTACTAGGAAGAGAACAGCTTCATCTGGTAGTTTTTCCCAGGTGGGAATGGCTTCATACCACTCACATTGTCTCAATTTGAATTGGGTAGAGATAAGACTATTTGCCAGTTGGCAGTGGGAAAGCTCATTGATCCTTAGGAATTTGTGAAAAGGCAAGGTTACTAGATCTAAGTGACTTTGTTCTAAGTTAGATTACCAGGGCCTCTTGCATGTGTATCCCGGGGGAAAGCCATCCCATATAGGTTGAGTACTTGGCTATGTAATCAAGAGCAAAGCTACCCTCAAAACAGACCTCCAAAACAGACCTCATTTGGTGACCTTCTTTGTCTAGTTGTCTTCACACAGCAGCCTGGGATTTACAAAAATAGCTACATTAAATCGAACCATTTCCATGTGTCAGCTACCATCATTACAGCACTGTTGTTACATTCACTTGGCAGATGTAGGAAACTGAGGTAGGGGGTTGTTAAATGACTTGACCAAGGGAACACAGCTTGGCAATGGCAGAACTTACCATATATTCCAGGGAGACTGGCTCTAAAGTTTATGCCCTTACTCCCTAGGGTTTGGGATAGAGTCCTTTAAACACAAGTGATGGAGTAAAAGACTATTCTCAGGCCAGAGTTGTACCTTAGGCCTTCATGCCTAAGTCTATAGAGAGACCTCTAGAATGCAGTTCTAATTCCTAGTAGACCTGAATTAAAAAGCTTTCCAGCAATGGCCTCTTACTTGGAGAGCAGTTTGGAAGGGGACTGGAAGGTCCAAAGGAGGCTGCTAAGTGGTAGTCAGGCTCATTTCTGAGATAGGACTGGAGATGGAGGTTTATTGTGAAACTTGGCTTCTTAATGGGCAGCATGGGACTCTCTTTGACAGACTTATGCAATAGGCAGTCAGTCTACATCTTAAAAGGTTCTTTTGTATTGGCTGTTTGATTCCTGTGGGTTCTTGGCTGTCTTCCCTACTGTCCTTGAGCCCTCCCTGTCATGATCAGAGATCACTGCTTTAACTTTAGGCTAATGAGTGCATTGTAGATACTCATTTCTCTTTTTTATTTCTTCTATACTAAGGCATAAATATAGGAGCTGTGATAAGGACAACTCTTATATAATTTGGCAAATACAGATTTGGATGTTTGATCATTCAGTTAGATTTAGGGTTCCTCCTGGTCTAGTTGGGAATCTAAATCTTCCCAAAGAGACAAGAACAGGGTCCCAGGAAGATGGTTTCTGAATGTGACTTTCACAATCCAACCTGAAGTGACCTCTCCGTCGTTGACCACATGTTGTTTGTTTCTCTAGATTGTCAGTTATCTTTAAGACATTGTGTATTAGATGTTTTCATTTATGTCCCTTTTCCTAGACCACATTTTAAGTCCTTAAGGTAAAAACATATGTCTTATATAATATGTTCCATGCCAATAATAGATGATAATAAACATGTTTTGATGAGTTAAAATATGCTAGAGTCTCTTTGCAAAACTGACTTTTCTAATAGGACTGTGGCACAAATTACCAAAAGTCCTTAGGCTGTTGGTTGATGTATTTCTGAGAATCCTACAGCTTTAAAGCTTATAGTAATTTTGATGTAGAAAAATAACAATGATTTGCAAATTTTTTATTTTAAAAGTGTTTGGATTTTGGTGCTAAGAAATAATTACTTTGGTTTGATTTCTGTTTGAATTCAGTTTGCTTTACTCATGTTAGGTGGTTTTTTCCTTGTCAAAGTCAATGTTTTTATATAGTCTTTTATATAGTCTTTCAGTCATGTTTAGTGGTTTTTATCTACCGACATCGTCTCTCTCCCATCTTATATAAAAATAGAAGTGGTAGTTTTTCATGTTTTAATAAGTTACTATTGGGGCGCCTGGGTGGCTCAGTGGGTTAAGCCTCTGCCTTCGGCTCAGGTCATGATCCCAGGGTCCTGGGATCGAGCTCCACATCGGGCTTTCTGCTCAGCAGGGAGCCTGCTCCCCCCTCCACCCCACCACCTGCCTGCCTCTCTGCCTACTTGTGATCTCTGTCAAATAAATAAATAAAATCTTTAAAAAATAAATAAGTAAATAAGTAAATAAATAAATAAATAAATAGCTATTGGCTAGATGCTGAAGGTAATTTAAGTGAAGTGGCCTCATTTAATTCTGAGCCTCTGAGAAAGGGCTTGGATCTGTGTGTTGGGTGTTCTCAGATACAGAGATGTAAACACCATTTTTCTGTTCCATTTTCAGGTCACATGTGCCAATTTAACGAATGGTGGAAAGTCAGAACTTCTAAAATCAGGAAGCAGCAAATCCACACTAAAGCACATATGGACAGAAAGCAGCAAAGACTTGTCTATCAGCCGACTCCTGTCACAGACTTTTCGTGGCAAAGAAAATGATACAGATTTAGACCTGCGATATGATACCCCAGAACCTTATTCTGAGCAAGACCTTTGGGACTGGCTGAGGAACTCCACAGACCTTCAAGAGCCTCGGCCCAGGGCCAAGCGAAGGCCCATTGTTAAGACGGGCAAGTTTAAGAAAATGTTTGGATGGGGTGATTTTCATTCCAACATCAAAACAGTGAAGCTAAACCTGTTGATAACTGGGAAAATTGTAGATCATGGCAATGGGACATTTAGTGTTTATTTCAGGCATAATTCCACTGGTCAAGGGAATGTGTCTGTCAGCTTGGTGCCCCCTACAAAAATAGTGGAATTCGACTTGGCACAACAAACCGTGATTGATGCCAAAGATTCCAAGTCCTTTAACTGTCGCATTGAGTATGAAAAGGTTGACAAGGCTACCAAGAACACACTCTGCAACTATGATCCTTCAAAAACCTGTTACCAGGAGCAGACCCAAAGTCACGTATCCTGGCTCTGCTCCAAGCCCTTTAAGGTGATCTGTATTTACATTTCCTTTTATAGTACAGATTATAAACTAGTACAGAAAGTGTGCCCCGACTACAACTACCACAGCGACACACCTTACTTCCCCTCCGGATGAGGATGAACATGGGTGAGACTGAAGCCTGAGGAATTAAAGGTCAATATGACAGGGCTGTTACCTCAAAGAAGAAGGTCACATCTGTTGCCTGGAATGTGTCTACACTGCTGCTCTCGTCAACTGGCTGCAAATATGCTAGTGGAAAACAATCTGATGTAATTTCTGCCCAGTCAGCTTCATCTCTTGGCATAGTTGTAAATCACCATAGATTTTAAAGGCACACTTGAAGACATGCTCTCATACATAGATGTACACAAACACACATTCATATACATTTCAGCTTGCATCTGTCATGATTCCTGTCAAGAGGGCTTTCATTGTCTGACTCATAATGGTTTAGGATAAACTATCATCAAATGAAAGGATTAACTAGACAGTGAATGGTTTCTAACACTTGTGGTTATGGAAATCTCTTTTAAAGTCTTGAGTACATGCTCATCAGTAATCCCCATTCATGCATTCCTACTGCTTGGAGTAGCTGTACTGGTAAATACTACTGTAGGAGTATATGCTTGTTAAAATGGAAAAAAAAATGTGTCTTTAGAGCTCAGTATTCTTTCTTTTATGAACACAACAAAATGTAGTAACTTTTTTCCAGCATACAGTAGGCACATTCAAGGTTATGTAAGATGGCTCTTTTTTCTATGGAGGGAGGCTGTTTTCAGTAAAGATGAGCAAACATTTGGAATTTACATGTGGGCAGACATTGGATTACAGCTTTCATCACCAGTCATTGGACTTTCTCAAAGTTGAGACCAGCTAAGGCTGCTTAAAACAAGTTCTGATCATTATATAAGAAGGGAAATGCCTGACAGACACCATGTAAGTTATAAGTGTCTGTCTTATCTTTACTACACATATTGTAACAAATTCAATATCCTAGTCTTCATTTGTATGAATGGTTTGTATTGTACATAGTTTAACCAAGTGTTATTTGAGCTGCTTATTAATATTAACTTGTACTTGTCTCTGCTTGTTATTGGTTAAAAAGAAAAAAAAAGGATATGAGGAATCCATTTTATCAATGTAGCTGTGACCTCCATTAAAAAGACAAACTTAATGTACAAAGCATTTATTCAGCTCAAGTATTGTTGAAAGCTAAACATATACAACATTACTGTCTGTCTGTATTTAGATATTTTATTTCTGGACAAAATGAAATGTACATAAAAATAAAATGCTTAAAGTTGAGTTTCAATATGTGCTTGTGTAAGATGGTGATTTAAGTGGTTCTGACAAGAAGAATGTGCTGGAATACAGTAATGGTTTTGCATCTCATGTCTCTAAATTTGTACAGAACTATCTAAATTGCTATTAGTTGCTCAGTCAAAACAACTTACGAGTTTCAATCTCAAGCCTGGGAAGCAGTTGTGGCATATGGTGTCGCACAAATTTTTGGTTTACTGTTGTGTTAGTGATTCAAGAATACCAAAAATCAATGAGCAGAAGAGAGGACTGAGGTCTCCTAAATATTATAACTGTTCTTTTGTTTTTCCTGTGTTGAGTCTTTATTTAGCAGGGAGATGGAGAGGAAGATAATTTTTTTTTTGTGGCTGATTTTCTCTGATTCTACTGTAATCACTCAACAGAAAAAATTACAGTAGCTATGAAGGGCTTTGGTGTCCTATTTACCTATTACCAAATGGGATCAACTTATCTATATAGCATCGTTTATGGACAGTAAACTTTCTTTTAAAACATGATTACTGTATGTAATTCCAGCAAGATAAATAGAAGAAGAAATATGCAAGGTAAACCATTTTTAAAGTCATAAATGGGGGAATGAGATATGAAGAGTTTCAAAGTTAACCAAAGAAGCCAAATTAAAACACTAACCCATTCTCATTTTCCCTTCATGCTACATAGGGATAAGTATGTTTTCATATAGAAAATAATGGAAGCACTATAGGAACACAAGACCACAGAGTTCTAAATTGATAACTCAGCAACTGATTAGACTAAAGAGAGCATTCCATTGCAAATCAAAGACACATCATTCTGTTAAGTGTCCATCTCTCAAAATTCTCCAATATATCTAGACAACCATTTCTATTAATGTATTAATTAATTTGCTATGGAATTTAGAAGCTAATGTTGGAACAGACTCTCTCTGGCACAACAGGCAATAAATGCTTCATGAGTTCCAGCTGTGGGACATATTTGTTACAGATAAATCTTGTTATTCTGGGATTTATTTATCAAAATGATCACTTAGAAGTTAGTTGTGCTTAGCAAAAAGAATAAAGGAGGAGAGGAAAATCATTTAAAAATTTTTTTAGGATCATTTCATTGGTGGACTATAATTTGCATTATGTGGTCTAATCTGACCTTTTTTATTTTTTATTTTAATATTTTTAAATTTTATTTAAGATTTTATTTATCTGACAGAGCACAAGCAAGGGGAGCAGCAGGCAGAGAGAGGGCGAAGCAGGCTCCCATCTGTGCAAGGAGCCCAACATGGGGCATGATCTCAGGACTCTGGGATCAAGACCTGAGCTGAAGGCACACACTTAATCCACTGAGCCACCCAGGCGCCCCTAATCTGTCCTTTTTTAATTCAAAATTCAAGATGAACTAAAAATATACTTCAGTCTCCACCCATCTGCCCTGCTTTCTAACCTCCCCATGAAATATTGCTTTTACATTTTTATAAACTTACAGACCATAGCTAACTAACATCCAATGAATTGAATTATTTTTCTGTAGTCTCTTTCTTTCTTTCTTTCTTACTTTCTTTCTTTCTTTCGTTCTTTCTTTCTAGATGTTATTTATTTATTTGACAGAGATACACGAAGAGAGGGGACACAGGCAGGGGGAGTGGGAGAGGGAGAAGCAGGCTTCCTGCTGAGACCTGATGCTTTGATGCAGGGCTCCAATCCCAGGACTCCAGGATCATGACCTGAGCTGCAGGCAGATGCTTAAAGACTGAGCTACCCAGACACCCCTGTAGTTTTTCTTTAAAAGAAAAAGAAAAGGGGTACCTGGGTGGCTCAGTGGGTTAAAGCCTCTGCCTTCGGCTCAGGTCATGATCTCAGGGTCCTGGAATGGAGCCCCGCATCGGGCTCTCTGCTCAGCAGGGAGCCTGCTTCCTCCTCTCTCTCTCTGCCTGCCTGTCTGCCTACTTGTGATCTGTCTGTCAGTCAAATAAATAAATAAATAAAATCTTTAAAAAAAAAAAGAAAAAGAAAATCCCAAGAATTTCAATTTTTTAAAATCCAAACTTTCCATACTATTTTTTCTGGTCCTGTACACACTTATCCCGAATTGCTACAACATCAACACCTCCGTTTGTAATATAGAAAAGTCATGATGATATAGGACTGTGTGTCCAATATACCTTTCCTATTCTAGACAAGGATCATGATGAATATGAAGGTTCTAAGGTTTAGATTAAAACTTCATTAGACCAAGTTTTTGCTTTAACAAACTGGTTAGTTAAGTATTAATTATGCTAGAAATCTATTTGTTATTTGGAGGAATTAAATTTTAAATTGCCCTAAGAAAATCATCTTACCTTCTCTAGAATCTTAAATACTATTTCACACCTTTGCTAAGATACAGAAAAAAAACTGCAAGAGGGAAGTAGAAAGCACTTGATGCAAACATGGGTTTGTCATTACCTATTGTTCTTTTCAGAAACATTTTAGAAAGATGAAAATTATTATTAAGAAATAATTATTGCAGCTTCTTGCCTCATGGAAGAAAAAATGATACAAGTTACTGGTCTATCTACTTATGATAAAAACAATGCATTGTCATGGCATGGTTTCAGTTGGGCATTTTTGAGTCCCTGGCTCTTGTTAGAATTTCTCTGCATGAGTAGAAGGGGTATAACTGTTAATAGAATAGTTCTAAAGTTCTGGAAGTAATTATTCTGCAAGTAATTGAGATACTTGTTAAGTTTAAAACTGTGGACTGGGAATCTTCATGTTCCTACATTTCAGCAATAAACTGTAAGCCATATTTTTGCACAGACTAGATTAAAAAAAAAATCATGAGAAGCCTGAGAAAGTGTTCTGTCTTTTCCCTCTTCCCCACTGTTTTACATGTAAGAAGCAGCTTAACCAATACAAACAGCTCTTTGGCAAAGCATTTTTCATTTCCATCATCAACTTTGAATGAGAAGTTTTAGCCTGAAGCAAATTCAAACGGATGGTTTATAAGCCTTTGAAAAACTTGGTTGCTGTACCAGTTTCAGATATTTACTGATTTTTATTCTATTATCAATCTATTTACCTATTTATATTTATTTATCTTTACATTTTATTAAAAATTTAAATTAGTAGATGCATTAAAAATACAAAATTTAAAAACATTAATGTACATAAAGATGATTACTATTTACCTAGTTTATAGGGGACAAAAATTTGAGTATCTTAAAGTCAGAATTGAATCTTGAAAAGCTGGTTGCTACAGCAGGCTTTTCTCAGGAGTCCCATGTCTACCAAAAACGGATTTCAGGGATTGGGAACACAAAGAAAACAATCCTTAGTTTTAAATTGTTGTGTATCATTGTGTTTTATATCCAATACTATCAGAAACATTTTAAAGTAACAAATTTGCAACTACTTTTTACTAGGGTGGCAAAGAAGAGAATTCTCATGAGAGAATTTTAGTTTCAGTTTGTTCATGTGAGCTAAGTCTAGTGACTAAGCCTAAAATTAGGAGACTACCAGTGTCAAGCAGCTGGCCAAGTGCCCCAAGTTTGATCAAAAGCACTTTAATATTTATGGTTCTGCATTTGCAGGAACATGCCTTTTATGACTGAAGGATTGGAGGATGACTCTAAAGGTCCCAGAAGTGATGGATTCAGGAGGCTTAGAGATCTCCTGTAGGTGGCTGAGTGGCTGTTGCCATTGGCAGTGCCTTTTGAATTGCCAGGTGTTGATTCCCCCCAATTTGAACTAATGAGTTAGACATACAGCTAAAGCACTGCTCACACCATCCTCACCTGGCAGCAGCTGGCTCCCTCTTTCCTAATTCTATGTCAGGGCTCCAAAGAGACAACTAGAATTTTCC